ATTGTTGTTTGGCGGGTCCGGGCTGGGGATTCGAACCCGCCACCTTAGGTGTACATGGCTGGCGCCTTAGCCGGTTGAGCCATAGGCGCCGAGCCAATACTTCAAGATCTTAAAAGAAATGCCACTGCAGTCAATACATGACTAACCCCACCAATGCAGAGTAATCATTCCTAAATGGAAAACAGAAAATCTTAGATAATCATCCTAGCTGATGCAGGGTTGAGGTTCTGAGAGATTTGTGGTCCTCTTCTAAAAAGCAAGAAATGGCTACTGAACTGCATAATCAGGAACCAACCAGAGAAATCTGAAGGGTGGTGACTAGTTCAAGGCAATGCTATATCAACTCATTCACTCATCTATTCCACAAATATATTGAGCACCTTCTTCGTGCTAGAACTGAATTTCTTCCCCTTCCTAGTAGTTCAAGGATAAAGTTGGTGCCATAATCATATAGTGGTTAAATTTTTTTTAAAAAAGAATAAAGTTGGGCTAACCAGGCACTATGCAGTAGGCTTTATGCTAGAGAGCTATCTCCAGTCTACAGCTGGATGCTCAGTGCAGAAGGGGACCCTGGAAAAGGGCAGTCTGAAAATCTCTTCAAGCTTCAAACCAGTGTGATGTCTACCTCCTAGTTAGTCTTTCCATTCCCTCCAGATGCCCCTGAGCACAGAAGTACAGAAGTGTGTACACATGCACATACATACACAATGGTTCTATACTAATTAATGTATTAGATTATACCTATTTAGATATGTTCCTATGTATGATATGAAATCTTCATATTTGTTTCTTCTACCTTTCAGTAGGCTACAATAGACAGCTCCATTCCCTAGAAGAAGCCTACTGTAAACCCATTTGTGGCTGGTCTTCCTTTTAAGCTCCTGCCAAGCTGATAGGAAGCTTCCCGGTGACTCCATCTTAGTTGGATTGACTACAGAGCCTAACACTGTAGGGTACAGCTTGGAGGGACTCTAAAGCAGCTGACCAGGGTCTGGAGGGCAAGGAGTATACTATAGAAAGGTACTATGTCCCTGAGACAAGGGAAAGCTTACAAATGCTATGGTGTACACACAGAAATATATAAAATATCCATATAAAAAGTAAAGCAAGGACATATTTATTTATTTATACTCTTAACACCAAACTACTACTGCCAAGGCAAAAATATAATGCCATTTCCCCTCCATCCTGTCTTTCTGCCCCAAACTCTTCAAGCCCTTAGGTCGCTACTGCTACCCCACCCGGCCCCTCCTCTCCCCAACGCAGGCTGCCTTGGATACTCATTTTGACCTGATTTCAATTCCATCTGGTCAAACATGCTGGGAGGAGGGGTGGGGAGAAAGAGAAGTATATTAGGATCTGCTACTGGGGCCAGACCTAAACGCTCGAGTCCCAGCCACCCTCCCCCACCCCAGGGTGATCCTGTGGTACGGAAGAAACAGAAAGCTCCAGCTCAAACCCCAAGACAGAAGCCAGAGATGCCTGCAAATATTTTCTGAATGTCCACAATTTTCCAGTCTCCATCCATTTGCAGCTCACGTTAAGGGGCCCTGGAAAGCTCTGCAGTGGTTTCAGGAGAGCTATTAATTTCTCTTAACGTGTGAAGCTATTCCTCCCTGCCTCAGCTCTAACAGGGAGTCCCTTTTGCCTCTTTTTTCTCTCTCCTCTTCTGTTCCTCCCCTAAGCTCCTTTCCTTCTTGACCTTGAGAGTCCAGTAATGTGCTCCCTCCCATTACTGGCAGTCTGGCACAGGCTTCCAGAAACAGGGTCCCTTCAGCTGGGGTGGGGAAATGAAGAGGCAAGTGACGGGGGAGAGACCAGAGACCGAAAATGCTGGAAACAACCCTCGCTACCTTCTAGTATTCCACAGCATAAGAGCAAGTCCTCATCACGCCCAACTAGGGAAAGCAGCCCAGCCCCCAGGTTGCAGAGATGTTTTGGCTGGTCACCTTTGGTGATTCCAACTCTGCAGAGGGGAAAACCTGCAGAGGGCCTGGCCTTGGGTGTCCACAGGAGGCAATGTGGAAATTATGGACTGTTTTGCAGGAGAGGAAAGGCAGACTTTAAAGATTTTGTAAATTAGTCTACACACAAAACAAAATAAAACAAAACATCCAGGTCTCCTGCGAGAGAAGAGGAAGAAGCAGGAGCTTAATGACCTTTATTTGGGCCACCACTGCTTTGTCTTAAGGATCCAAATACATATCCAGGCAGCTAGAGGAATACTATCAGCTCACTGCCTGGGACGAGGAATTCCTAGCCAGCCCCTACAAATTGCTTGTTTTAGTAGCCCATTCACCCCAGCTCTTTCCCTCCGTCCCCTTTGTTCTGCCCTAAAATAAATAAACTCTTCAGCTTGCTAAACTCTTAGCTCCGAGGGAATGAATCACACTTGCAGATTGGTTGCCCAGACTTTGGGTGTGTGCTGGAAAGAGGGAAGGGCTCCTGCCAATGACAGGTGCTTCAGGTCTCAGCCTTATGCTTTACCTGGGGTTAGGGGTACTCTCTGGGCAGCCCCTCCCCCAACTGGCATTCCGTAGCTCCAGAACAGCATGCCCAACAAATGAAAGCGCTCTTGCCCAGATGCTCCTTCTGAGCTGCAAAGTTGTTGGGGAGAAGGAAGGGTCCGGGGTCGGGTAGGGGTTAAGGGATTGGGACCAGAGACTGAAAAGAAAGAAGGGGAGAGGTGCTGGCAGTCCCATGGGGGTGCGCTCCTCATCGCCCGTTTGCTTCACTTACCATCTCACTGTAGGCATCCTTGCTGAGCCTGGGAGTCAATTTGATGGTCCCCATGAAAACAAAGAAGAGTCCCAGGGCCACAGAGAGGGCCACGATAGTTACGGTTCTAGGGGATGCCATGAGGATTCACCAAGGCGGGTCCCAACTAATCCTTTTGCTTTGCGCACCGGGTCTGTCCAAGGCGCAGGCAGTTAGCACAGCGAGAGCAGGACGGACGCTGCGGAGGCAGCAGGCAGCTAGAATGACAAAGGGAGAGGAGGGAGCTCGAGAGAAAAATTGAGAGATCGAGATTCAACCACTCTCACTACAACTATCGCTGGGTCCTAATGCCCTACGCTTGCTCCTCACAGGCCAAAAAAGTCTCGAAGTTAAAGGAAGCCCTCAGCTGAGAAAGAAACTCCAAATCTTTTTAAATGGGAAGAAGGTAGATTGTGCTTTGAGTTCAGTCACTGAGCGGCCCCTGGAATGAGGAATTATGTAAAATGGCTTTTCTACCGCTTCCCACCCAGTGCACTTTTCGTCTCCCGGCTTGCACCTGTCTGTCCTCTTTCAGTTATTCACTCTCTTTTTCTCACCTCTCCCTTTCTGGGCCCCTTTCCCTTCCTTCAATCAAAACATTAGTCCTTGGAGAGTTGTTAGTTTCTGAAGTTGGTGGACACTCAAAGACAGAACTTCAAAGATGTCAGGCTTGATTGCTACCCCAGGAGGCTTTATCTTTCTCTTCTTCGAAACTTTTAATGGCTCCAGTGCCCAGTGCTTAACCGCAAATTTTTAAATTTGGCATTCAAGCCCCTTCGTGTTTTGACCCTTATCTCTCTTTGGCAATTTAACTTGCAATAGCTCCCACTGCCAGGTGCCACCCCTATCTATCTACTCCTGGCCCCATACAACCTGAGCCTTCCCTCTTTTCCTACATTTGATCCCCCCATCACTCTTTATCAGCATTCAACCTTTTCTTCAACATAATATCCTCCATAAAGCCTTTTCTGGCTCATTCCCAGCTGGATGTAATTTCTCTCTCCTCCAATTTTCTCTAACAATAAGGAATATTTTTGTTCACTGTTTAGTAGGTACTAGACACTGATATTAACTTATCTTTATTTTTTCCAGCATTAGTTATGCTTTATTAAAAGTGTCATTTAATTGGTTGGGTTTTTTTGTTTGTTTGTTTTTTTGTTTGTTTGTTTTAAGAGACAGAGTCTCATTTTGTCACCCTTGGTAGAGTGCCATGGCAGCGTCACACAGCTCACAGCAACTTCCAACTCCTGGACTTAGGAAATTCTCTTGCCTCAGCCTCCCAAGTAGCTGGGACTATAGGCGTCCGCCACAACGCCCGGCTATTTTTTTTTGTTGTTGCAGTTGGCCGGGCTGGGTTTGAACCCGCCACCCTGGGTATATGGGGCCAGTGCCCTACTCACTGAGCCACAGGCGCCGCCCCATTTAATTGTTAAAGCAGTACTTTGGGCTAGGTATTAGTCCCCATGTTTTGGACGGAAACATTGAGGCTCAGGGAAGTTAAGTAACTTGCCAAAGAGCATTCAGTGAGTAAGTGGAGAGCCAGGATTCAAACCTAGGCAGTTGGCTCAGCGCCTATAGTTCAAGTGGCTAAGGTGACAGCCACATACACCAGAGCTGGGGGGTTCAAATCCAGCCCACGCCTGCCAAACAACAGTTGACAACTACAACCAAAAAATAGCCAGGCATTGTGATGGGCACCTGTAGTCCACCTGAGCCACAGGCACCAAGCCAATTAATTTAATTTTTGAGACAGAGTTTCACTTATTAACCCTTAGTAGACTGCTGTGGTGTCACAGCTTACAGCAACCTCCAACTCCTTGGGCTTAGGCCATTCTCCTGCCTCAGCCTCCCGAGTAGCTGGGACCACAGGCGCCTGCCACAATGCCCAGTTATTTTCCCGTTGCAGTTTAGCCGGGGCTGGGCTCAAACTCGCCACCCTCAGTATATGGGGCCAGCACCCTACCCACTGAGCCACAGGCACCACCCAATTTATTTATTTTTTGACACAGAGTCTCACTTTGTTGCCACAGTAGAGTGCTATGGTGTCATAGCTCACAGCAACCTCCAACTCTCATGCTTAAGTGCTTCTCTTGTTTCAGCCTCCTGAATAGCTGGGACTATGGGTGCCTACTACAATGCCTGGCTATTTTTAGAGATGGAGACTTCCTCTGGCTCAGGCTGGTCTGGAACCTGTGAGCTCTGGCCATCCACTCATGTCAGCCTCCCGGTGCTAGGATTACAGATATGAGTCACTGCACCCAGCCAAAAAATAAGATTCTTGATGATACACATTATAAATACACTTTCCAGAAAGGAAATTTACCCTCCCATCAGCAGTATAGGCAAGTGTGTTGGCATCACCACATCAGATCTGCACTGAGAATTTCAGTGTTTTTCATCTTCATCAATTCCACTCATTTAAAAGTTATATTTCATTAATACCAGAAAGTGGGATAGGGTATTGTAGCTTATCCTTCTGATAAGATTGGCCCTCAGAAACAGGCTTAAGTTAAGCCCCTAAATATAGTTTATGAGAGGCCCTTCCTAACACCCTAAGGTAAGTATGGTAATATATCTGTAAGGATAGTTGGCCTTTATAGCAAAATAATAGAAAAATTATTAACTCATAGTTTTTCAATAAGGCATAAATTCTCTCTACCTCCTTTCTTTCTCTTGCCAGCTCCCACTCCCATCCTTGCAGATCTCTGTCCGTAGAAGAACCCAAGAGACCAAAAGGAAGTATAAATTCTGTTTATATCCCCAGCTTCTTTGTCTTCTAGAATTTGTTTCTTTAAGGTTCAAGTGATTTCTGAGTGTCCCAGATAGATGAGTAGTCAGGCCTTAGGATTGGAAACACCTGGAAAATGTCTGTCTGCAACCACCTTGCCAGATTAAAAAAGGGACACAGCATTCACATTGACAGTACTTAGTGAATTCAGCAGCACTTACCTTCCCCCTCTCTTAAAGCCAGCTACCCACTGGACCTCAGGGCTGGCATTCTTCCTTTCTTTAGGATGCAGAAACTATTCTCTCGGTCCTTTTCTTTCCCCCTCCCCATCTTCCCTTCTCTCACTTCCTCCTCTCTGCTCTCTCTCTCTTTCTCATCTCTTCCCCCAACTCCCTTTCCCTTTATCTAATATAAAATAAACTTAAAATTTTTCTTTGAGACAGAGAGTCTCATTATGTCGCCTATAAAGTGCTGTAGCATCACAGCTCACAGCAACTTCAAACTCTTGGGCTCAAGTGATTTTCTTGCCTCAGCCTCCCAAGTAGATGGGACCACAGGCACCTGCCACAATGCCAACCTATAATAAACTTATACTTTTATATTCTAATCTTGGCCTAGAGAAATTCTTTTCTCATCCCTTGAGCATCACCTACTGAGTAACTGAGCATTTTCTAAACCTATCAATATCCATGAGTAAAATACATAGTAAAGTAATATGTTAAATGAGTGGGTCAGGTTCTAAGCATTATGTGTGAGTTTCCGTCTTTTAGGTCCCTGCCCTGCTTGAGAGCAGAAAGTGGAAATGACCCTATGAAGTGCCATCAATGATTCACGCCTTGTAAAAATTGTCAGAAATGAAAACCTTGGATCCATCACACCAAAATAAAGAGGTGTTCCGTGAAAGAAGAGCACTCAGACCCCCAATAGAGGGGCCAACCTTTACATAATCTAAAGTGACTGTTTAAGAAAAAGGGAAAAAATGAAAATGTTAATTTATTTGCTAACTTTTCTTTGATTATTTTTTCTGCCTATAGTTGGAAAGACAATTCTTTAGTGAGATTTGCAGTTTTGTTTTGTTTTTGTTTTTGTTTTTGGCTGGCTGGGTTTGAACCCACCACCTCCAGCATATGGGGCCGGCGCCCTACTCCTTGATCCACAGGCACCACCCCTTTAATGAGATTTGTCTCAGGCTTTCACCTGTTCTGTTGACCTGTCTTGCTACTGGATTTATTATCCTAACCTTAGTTCGGTGTTGTAGATGATATTTTAATTTGTCCAAGGTGGACCACCTACGTGGTGGAGCAAATAAATAGTTCTGTGCTCCAAGGTGCCATGTTTCTTTCAAGCTCAGTTCTATATCAGACATTATGTACAACAGTCCATCTCGGTTGTCTGCCCTCACTGTTAATACTAGTTGGTTATGGCTCGGCGCCGGCGCCTGTGGCTCAAGCGGCTAAGGCGCCAGCCACATACACCTAAGGTGGCGGGTTCGAATCCCCAGCC